AAAATATAATAGATAATGGACCAAATTGCTCAGTGTGGGGGTTAGGCCACTCATTAATCCTGATAATATAGAGCAAATGATTGCTAGTTCCTCTAGTTTACACTAGATGGGCTTAGAGATCCTAACTCAACAATGTGCAATGACAACATTAGAATCCATCTTAGATTTATAGAGCTAAGGCGTTGATCTATGTTAAATTTTATGTATCAACAAAATTGGGGAACCTGAGAAAGGAAAAATATATCTTCGGCGTCTAATGTGTTATTCTAAGTTATGGGATTTTTCTCAACTGAGATTTTTTAACCAAAAGCGTTAATCTATGTCAGGAGTTGCAACTGTGAATAGATTAACAAACTTGATGCTATAGTAATGTTGCCATACTAAGTGTGCTCCAACTTCTGATGGATCATCAACTAGACCTGTGGAGAAGAATGGTTAAAGCCAAACCAGATTTAACTGCCTTGCCTCGAGGTGTCCAATAGTTGTACTAGAGAATAAGGATTTCACTCTAGATTTAATCAGTCAAGATGTATATTGTATAACCAACCTCTTATTGATTAATATCTACAAACCTGGAGAAAGGAAAGAGAATTATGTAGGCGTTCAATAGATTATACAATTTGGAAAGGTGTCCATTGAGCAATCCTAGATTTACAAGTCTAAAGCTCTGAATTAATTGGACTTGGAAATCCATCGACATTAGCTAGCCCTGCTGAATTTAATTAGTGAGTCCACTCTATCTTCAATTACATAGTTTTGTGACAGAGGCAGACAATGATTGACTCTCGAGAGTGGTTACATAGACATAACCTTATCCTAGTGTTTCTCAGTTAAGGTGTCATTTTTGTTGAGGCCGAATGTAGACCAATCAGAACTGAGAGGCTCTGAAGGAAGGAACAAAATATCTTGTTGGTGCACAATAAGTTAGAGTAAGAGAAATTTTGTCTTACCTTAGAATTATCAACTTAAAGGATTAATTCATGAGACCAACCTTAACTGGCTCGAAATTAATCAAGCTAATCACATTGTGTTGGTGTTGTGTAGGGCGTACTCCAAATCCCAACGGACCAAAGCCAAACTTGTGGAAGGTTTGAATAGGATGAAACTAAGTTCAGTGAACCACTTTTGGTGTTCATTGAGTATACTGGATGAGAGTATGACATACCTCAACCTAGATTTACTGACTCAATAGATTGATGATTGTAGGAAGGTCAACCAACCTAATTACATTGTGTTAGTGTCTTGTGGGGGTGTACTCCAACTTCTAATGGGCTTTAAGAAGGTTCAAAGAAAGGTTACAATGGGATACACTAAAAAGGACATGTGTAATTCATCGCATCTCAGGTTTACTCACCCAAGGGATTGACAACTGAAATTATCCATGATTGATTTGAAGTTAACCAATTTGATCACATCTTGATGGTGCCACGTGGGATGTGCTCCAACTTTCGATGGACCAAAACAAACTTTTTTTGGAGTGCAATAGATAAGATACTTAGTCTAAAGGGTTGATCCCCAAAATTGACCCCGATTGGTTTGAAGTTAATCAACCTGGTCCCATCATGTTGGTGCCTTGTGAGGCATACTCCAATTTATGACAAATCCGAAGAAGTTCAAATTGGATATGTTGTGCATTATGTTTGAGTTAATATTTTTGTTTTGTTGATTTGTTTGTTTTAAATTTGGTTTTTTGAAAAGTTTTTCCATTTTTGAACAACCGTGAATTTTTTAGTTATATTTGGATGTAGGAAACTGCATGGGGCATTACACATTATCAAAATAATAATTGAGATATTCTAAGGATGCCATCCTTAAAACCACAAAGGGTTTTGATGTTTGACAAGTTCTAAAATTTTGTTAAAGTTTTTCGTAAAAACTTTTGTCATGATTTTGATTGACTGCTATGTTTTTTAATTATTTTAATTTTGATTGTTTTGATTTTGATTGGTTTTTTTTAAAGCATTGATTGGTTTTGTGAATATTCATTTTTGAAAGTTTTAATAATTTTGGAGGAAGGTTTGTTTGGAGGGTGTTGATTGTTTTGAGAAAAAAGTTTTCTCTTGAAAATATTTTTTTGAAAGTTATTTGTTCATTTAATTGTTTGATTGATTTTATGGGTGTTGGTTTTGAGAATGTTGATTGTTCATTAACTTGATTGTTCATTTGTTTTATTTTAAGTTTAGAAGTTTCTAGACCAGCGTCAATTTGAAAATTCATATGTTCATCTAAACATTATCTTGAAAGAAATTCAATATTCATTCAATATCACATTCATTTAGTCAGAAAAAAATTATTTTTTTTTACACAAAGAAATAACAATTCATTTTATAAATATATCCAACATTTTTGATACATTCATAGGACTGAAAGACAAATTCTCACAAACACATCATATGAAAAACATCAACAATCATAACACCAGAACATGAACAGTAACACATCTTCAGAGCTGCAATGGTTTAATACTCATATAAAGTTGAGGGGGAAATTTTGAGCTCTTGAGTTTTCTGAAAGTGACCGAAACCCGGTGTTTAGAGACTGAAGGTATGCAATGCTTGACCATGTTAGTGTTATTTCCTTCCATTACTAAAACTGATCCTCGTGGTAAAGGGACGGAATATGACCCACTGAACTTCCCTAGACCCATCGTTTTAATCTTGTTACCAAAAACCATATCGACTTGGCTTACGAGTGAGACCACATAGAAAGGTGATTCAAAGCATGATGATATATATGTGACGGAATGCAATCTCCTTCATCATAAATGTTGACTACATAGTTATCTGGCCTGGCTGATGATTGTAGAATTTGTATGCAATTAGTTTATTAATAATATATTTGAATATGATTGAGAATGGGTCCACTTCCATATTGTGAGTGACACCCATTAAGAGGCCTCGAGGATCCCATTCAGGTTTATGAGAACACTCGAAATGCAGAGTGGTCTCTACTTTTTCATTTATCCACTATTTAGGTTTATCAAACGTTTGATGTCTTAATTGGCCTCGTCGACGCATCGTCCAAAGTTCATATGTAACTTTAACAATGTACTTTTTTCCTGATTAGTAAATATGACAGTGTAGAGTCATAACCCCTACAATATGTTTACTTGCCATCCTCTGACTTGTTCCATATGTTTGAAGATTTGTGCTTTGCACTCTATCTGTTGATCATTTGTTGTTGTCTTACACAATTAACTGGATTCTGTTCCTAACAAACATGGTGGAAGAATTTTTTATGTTTCTGCTATGTCCAACTTCTAAGGAAAGCTCAGTTGATACACCATTTTCTTTGCTCGGTGCATGTTGTACTCTTCGATGGTATGAGATCTAGTCTTCTAGTTCAACCTTTTTTATTCGTCCACTGTATTGTTTGTTCTAAGATTCCGAGTTGAAGGTTAAGGATTCTCCCTTGAACTTTTTCCGACTCTTCTCCCAAAATTGGCCTACGAGACATTTCTCTGGCAAGGAATTCGATGAAAGGCCTTAGTTCAGACATTCTTAGACTTGAAGGTCGTGTTATAGATTTGAAGTTTGTCTATTGTGTTTGGCCAGTTTTTATAATGACACTGTTAATGAGATTTTTCGAAGACATTCTCTGTAATTAAATAAATGAAGTGTTAGTTATTGTCTAAAAGCTCAAATCTAATCTATTTAAATTGAGACAGAGTTTCATGTAAGTTATGTTTTGAATTTGGTTTAAGAATGGATTTGCGTTCAGATTAAGATTTTGAAGCAGATCAAGTTTCAGATTAGGATTTGAGATATCATGAATTTCAAAGTAAGACTTTAGATTTGGCTTCAAGGCTTTGAAGATTCTGAAGGTTTTTTGAAGATTTTGAAGATTTTTTGATGATTGTAAAATTTTTTTTTGATGATTTTAAAGAATTCAAAAATTTTGGAGATTTAAAAGATTAGAAAATTTTGAAGATTTCTAAGATTTGAAAGATTCTACAATGACTAATGCTCCTGAAGTTTAAGACATATTTCCCATGAAGGTAAATGGAATTCGATTACTACAATCTATTGATTATGAGATCACTCCTGGTAGATGAATAGAGACATGACGATTAACCAAGGCAACATGATTCTTATAATGTTTTTTATGATGTGATGTGATTCATGCAATATGATTCATGTGTATTTAGTGTAGAGCTTGTATGATCTCCCCGCAAAGATTTGTATGCAAAAGCCACTTTTAAGGCAAATTCCAGTTAGTATCAAATAACCCAATCTTTTATTTCAACCTTACAGTACTTGGTTTTTAGCGCATCTTAAAATTTTTTTTTTAATCTTATATATTAAAATATTGATTCATCCTTCAAAGATATTTTAAATTTATGAAAAGTCAATGGATCGATCTGATTTATCCTATTGATTTCTCATGAACATATCATAGGAAACTTTCTTCAAACTTAAGTTTCATTAACAAAAGAGTCTGTCATATGCCAATTTTATGTTTATGCTCACCTCAAGCTCAAGCTTCTTCTTACGGTGGTGGACAATTTACATTAAGGCTTTTGCCTTTCTTTTCATATATATATATATATATATATATATAGTTTTACCTGGTTTTCCTTCTTATATATATATTATCCCTCCTTTTTTTACTACATTTGCGTGAGAATTATTGTATTTGACAAAGCACAATTCTCCCTTAATTGATGATTCTTTGATTTTTTCTTAATAAAATTTTCTAATATAATATGTTTCATATGAAATTTACAGCTTTGGTTGAATTGTATGAGTACTTAAAAAAAAAATGAAAATATTTTTGCTCTACTAAAACTATTTTAATTATACATTTTTAATCATTTTGTAGATATTCTTAAATCTAGTTAGGTGAAGGATTGATTTTATTTAAGATAACCTTAGTTCTTTTTCCCTTGATGAGCTTTTCCATCCGAACATATTGTTGGAAAATAATCAGACCAAGATATCTTTGAGAACCCTCTACCTCTCATTCTTGGTACCATTATAAAAGAGTTTGGGAAGGCAAAGAGAAAACCTCCAAAAATCACAACAAAATCTAAAAAGGACAGAAGATCTTACCTAATAAGAGGAAGAATCGATGGATCTATGAGATTTACAACTGATTTGCACTTTGGTGGAACTCCTAGGGCAAGTTAGGGCTCAGTTTAAAGGTTCTAAAAGAAGAAGCATGCAAAGGAGGAGGAGAAAGGGGCCAAATTAGATAAAAGAAGGTGTGCACACATGTATTAAATGTAACACTAGGTCATGCTAGCATGGCCACGCTCATTTGGGCTAAATCTTCCGAGTGCGGCTTCGCGAACCCTGCGACTCCTTTGAAACTGGAGGATGTCGTCGGCGGTGGCAGCCACGGCGTTGAGCCCCTTTGTTATGATTTCTGGAAATCTTTTTCGCTCTTATCCGGGTTTATCGGCTTCTTCTTTTTCGCAACCTCACTCCCTTCGGGGCTCGTCTACTTCTAATAGGCCATTGCAGGAGCAACAGAGGGGGAAAGGGCTGACCTCTGTGGCACTAATCGCGAGTGGTGCAGGCTTTGCCCTAGCAGCGGCCGCGTGCGCATTTCCCTCCGCAGCATGGGCGGCGCCACCTACTCTTAGAGAGCCGCAGAACGCTCTCTCTCTGCCAACTTGGGTCATTCATGTGTCCAGCGTCATCGAGTGGTAGGTAGGGTTTGAACCATCTTTGAGACATTTACCTCTTTAAATCTAATTTTCTTTTCTATGATTGATTTTTAATAGTGGTTTGATTTCATTAATTTTCCGTTCTTTGCTATGAAGGATTACTGCCATGGCGTTAGTTTGGGAATACGGAGAAAAATCGGGGTTTTCCGCTTGGAAAGGTCTTTCCTGGGGAATGGTAAGTCACAACTGGAATCTCCATTTTCAATGTCGTGTTTTCTTCTTTTGAGATGGGGTGCAGTTTAATGTAAGAGGGCAACAGAATTATTTTTGTTTTGTAAGATATTTGTTTTTTTCCCCATACAAACAAATTTTTTAATGATTGTCTTGATTGTTATCTTATAGTGAGGATTGCCTTTCAGCTGGATGAAAATGCCTTATAGCTCAAAAATTAATTTAGCAAAGATTATATCAAGCCATGTTTTCTCAGTTAACTTATCATCTTTATGTTATAGCTTCTTTTTCTATTAGAACTTTTGAAATTCTGATTCGACATTTTCTAGGTCGACTTAGGGACTTTGTTTGGATTACTAAATCTCATATTTACTTCTTTGCTCCTAAATCAAGAAATTGCTCGTTAAAAGATTTGATAAAATAGTGTTAGTTGATTAATAAGAAAAAAGGGTAGATGTAAGGTCACATGAATAAAAGTTTCTCAAAATGATTGCTAAGTATTGGTTTGACACCTTTGACAATACTCCATAAAATGAATAATAATGAGAATTCATAATGCTGGCCCCAAATTTTTGGGATAAGGCTAATTATGATAATATCAGCCTTATCAATTTGTCGATTTACTCCATTTTCTTAACCTTAATTTGCAATTGAAACTTCTTGTGAAAGCAGAAGAGAATGCTTGTCTTTCTATAGACCTATGATTTAACATGGGATTATGCAAATTTCCCGTACACATATTATTTGTTGAAAGAAAAACACAAGAGGCACAATTTTTTCTATTTGAAAAATATAGGAATGGGAAAAACTATAGTGCCCAACTTACTTGAAATATTTCTACCATTATAAGTAAAGGATGAGAAAGTGTACATTGTCTTAACTAGGAAAAGGATTAATATAATATAATAGTTTGAACCATATGAGACATCCCTTATGGTGGTAGTAGAAATATTGATGTTTTAGAATTGTCATTAGGTGATAATTGTTAGACAATGGTTGAAAGCGGATGTTAGAAATTGGGCGATGGTGGTTGGTTAGCCTGTTCGTTCTCTTGATAGAATTTGAGATTGCACAACTTAGAAGACGAGAATTTAATGTCAGATGTTGGTCATTTGTAGGCGTTCTATGATAATTTATGAGGAATGTTGGACATCTAACAACAATGGCTAGTTGGCTTAATTGTTCTTTTGTTAAATTGGGAGATTGAACGATGAGAAGATGGGCGTTAGGTAAAAAAATGCTATGTTGGAAGTTAAGAGATATTTGGTAGTGGATTTCATTGTTCTTTATACTGGAGGGAAGACAGAGCAACAAGAAAGGCATACATTGAATTTTGATCATTTTTAGATCTTTGAAAACGATTGACATATTATGTTAGAAGTTGGCGATTATGGGCGATCAAGTTAGTTGAATTTTTATTAATGGGGAGACTTCGTGTTTGGTAAAGCGGAATTTGAATGCTTGTAGATGACAAACATTACACATTAGTCATTGAAAGGTGTTTTGTGATAATTGACAAGGAATGTGTAGCCTTTAGGTGATGGTCAATAACAAATATTAGACAGCAATTGATAACGACAAATAATTTGATCATTTTCTTAATATCAGGGGAGATTAGGCAATGAAGATGGAAACAATGTTCTAAAGGCGGGTGTTGATGACTGATAGATGTTGGATTTTGGTCGTTGGTTGATGTCAGGCTATAGTTGGCTGTGATTATAAAAGTTTGGATGATGGTGAGCATCTAACTTTCTTTCTCCTGTAACAGGAGAGAAGATTGTATAATCACCAAGATAGGCATTATATGGTAGGCATTGGTCTTTAGCATATATTGGGCGATAATTAAGGTGAATGTCAGAAGCCCACCAACAACGGGTGATCGACTGAGTCATTTTTTTGATAGTATGATGAATCAGATGACATGGAAGGAGAATATTAAAAATTATTAGTACACATACATCAAACGCTAATCATGGAGTTTGACAATGATCTATGTTTTTTTTAGGAAGCCATATAATGGTGGGTGTTCTTCTTCGTTGTTCTCAGAGATGAGGCTGTAAAAAAAAGTTCTTCGTTTGCGAACAACTCGTTTTTGACTTCTTAAGGAGTTCGTGTTCGATTAGTTCATTAAGCAAGCGAGTCAAACATGAATAATTTTTTTGAGCTTGATTTATAAACGAGCCGAACATGAAATAATGTTTGTTTGTTCCTGTTCAACTAATTTTGGCTCAAAATAATTAAATAATTAAAAAATAATATTTATTTATATCCATTTTATTATTAATTTTTATACAGTATTTAAAAGCTGTTAAGTTTTATTATTTATAAAAATAATTTTTTTATTTGTACTTTTAAATAGAAAGTAACTAATTTCATTCAATTGTCTCAAAAAATTTAAATCATTTTTTTTAATATAAATGGGAGAAAAAAACACTAAAGTAAAAAAAAAAAGAAAAACAAAAAAATTATTTAAAACAAAAGGATTATTTATTAGATATATGTATACTTAAGAATTGGGTGGTATGTATGTAAATGGCATTTGTCCACTTGCCCTGCTCCCCCTTGCCTCGTATTCTTCGGTGGCATGAGTGTTAGATTTGTAAATACATAAGAATTGGGTGGTATGTATGTCAATGTCCATTGAATTTTCCATACCCTGCCCCGCCTATCACATACCCACGATTCATTAGTCCCACATCAGTAAACTTAAAGCTAGAAATGCTCTTTAAAACATAAAACAATGCTTTCCAATTTGAAAAGATTTAAGATTTGAAAACTTGAGGATGGGAAGGCAATATTATTTTTTTTTTATTGATATATTTTGAAATAGTTAATTTTTAATGCTAGTTAATTATAATTTATTTTTTAAAATTATATTTTTAATAATTATATCACGTAGCTACTTGCCCTGTTTTTAGTCTCACATCGAGAATATGATGGTTATCATTAATGTTTTAATGTATAAAAGAGGATCAAATGTTTTAAATTCTTACACACGACTGTGACTGTGAAAGTAGGGAATGAATTTATTTCGAGTTGGACACGAGTTTAATTCGAACAAATCGAGTTTGAATCGAGCTGAACATGAAGAGCTATTCACGAGCCATTCAAACACGAGCCTAAAAAAAAAAAAATGAATGAGCCAAACACTAACAAGTATTGAGCTCGCTCAAACTCGGCTCGTTTACACCTCTACTCAAAGGAAAGGGCAGGTCATCCAAACTATGATGACATGCATTGAACGTTAATAGCTGATGTATGACCATTAATTGTTTAGTGTTGGGAGATGATTGACATATTATGTCAAATTTCAGATGATATTGTATGGTTTACTTAGTCATTCCCTAGATAGAGGGAATATTGGGCAATTGGGAAGATTGGTTGTTAGCATGTGTAGAGCAATGATGAGTTTTTGGTTTGTTTATTCTTTTGATGAGAGGATGATCAATAATCCAGAGGACATGTCAAATTTTAGTTACTGATGGGCATCAAACATCAAACATGAATAGTTGGTCGGTAACTATCATTGTTCTATGGAGAATGTCAGAACTCGACTCAAATGTTCTATTGGTAGGAGGGGCGATCGAATGGCCTGGAATGCAGATGTTGGCCTTGACGGATGCTAGGTCTGTTCGTTGGACAACATCAAGTGATGTTTGTTGGTTTATGTTTGAAGCTAGGCAACGATGGGCGCTTGATTGGTTTTCCTTCTTATAGAAGGAGATATTAAGTATATGGGAAGATGAGCATCAGATATCAATGCTAATAGACATCAAATATACACCATATATTGATTTTTAGCAACATTCAATGGTGATCAATTTGTTTCTGGAATTTGAGCATGAATAAGCTTTGGTTGTTCTCATGTATAATGGAAAATCCAATGACTAGGAAGATGGTTGTTAGACTACGATTCCTGGAGAACATCTAATATTTGGGAAGTTGTAGGTGGTTCTTGATGTGAGTTCTTAAAATCAGTTGACAACCTATGAAGCACAAACACTTTTGAATGACCTCTGTGCCTTGTATACGATACTGATACACCTTAACACTTGTCTTACATGCCACACCACAAATTGTGTCAGCAAATTTTTATTATAAATTTTGGCAACATCTTACTGCAAATAGGGAAAATATATGATGAGACATGATAAGGACATGATAGGACACCGATGATGGAGGGAAGAGGTCTGGGTGCTTAATGTTTTACATACCATAAAATATTTTTATTATTAATCTTTTAGTTCTTTCTATCCTTATTTTTTATGATATTATACTTCATCCTATGATGTATTCAATTGAGAACAATAATAAATTATCTTTTTATATTATGGATAACTAAATATAAAATTATATCTATGCTCATGTCTTACTTTTTGTATTTATGCCATGTCTTTATGTCATGTCTTTATGTCATGTTCTGTCCGTATCTCCTTGTTTGTATTCATTTTTGATAGTTTGATTATACTAACTTGCAAGAATGTACTCTATAAAACACAAACACTTCTAATTAGCTTTTTTATTCGTGTTTGTTATGTATCGCCCTTTGATATGCTCTGACACATGTATTATATGCCATAAATCTTATTACTATTTTTTTAATATAAATTTGGGTTTTGACATAAATTAAAACACATCAGGATGCATATGAATGTTTGTGTGAAAGTATAATTTTTCTTTAAGAAGGCACTGGAAACACACCTGAAACTGAGGAGCACAAAAAAAATGCTCGAGGCTTGAACTTCATTTTTCAGTAACGAGCTTTATGCCTTTTTGGTCTAAGACATACATCGAGGTTTTATGCATTGTGATATTTGAGGCAGCGTCTTAATTAGTTTATGTAAGAAGTATTACATTATATTATATTATAATAATAATAATATATCTAATAAATCTGTTGTAATACCTTAAAGAAGTCAAAAAACAATTTAAGTATCATTATTTGAATTTGTTATTAATTTGTTATTTTAATTTGATTTAAAATGGATATTATTTAATTCATAT